CGGGCTGACACGTCTCTCTTTTTATATAGATGACATAAACGGAGAATATTAATTTTAGTTTTGAATCGGATCATTTAAAAGTACAAACTCAAATGATTTAAAAGATATATTGCTTATGGCTGGGTGAATAGTATTAGCTGAGTTGTGTTGAAGATTAGAGACGTTCACAAAGTTCTTTATTTTACAAAAGCACAATATTTTATTTCGATTGTATGTGGGCACATAAAAAAGTAGACATTTAACAGATTATTTTCTCATATTTCTTAGCTCTATATGAACAGAAATGATGGTAGTACTTTAAGTCTATTTTTCTGCTATGTGAAAAAAAACGAGCAGAGGGTTAAAATACAATGTAAGAATTTGTTCAGTTGCATTTCAAAACTGGTCAATTTTGAGCTTTTTGCTATATTTTTGTCTCTGGGTTTATCTTTGTCGTCTACCAGGTTTAAAATCTGCATAATTTCTCATATTATAGTACATCTATGACTCAACAGTGTCTCATAATTATTCATGAGACAGTGCGTCCTTGTTTTATGATAAGGCGGGTCACTAAATGATTCACGACAGCATGCATCACTTTCCTATGACAGACGCTTCAAACTGAGAGATCACATACAGTAGTTGAGAGACGTGTTTATGGATCGCAAGTCAGTGTTTTTCACTTTGCAGGAGTTTCATGGCATAAATTATCTTCTATAGACCCTGAGCCCCCCCCCCCCCCCCTCCCACACACACACACACACAGTCTATCAATGCTGTGAGTGGAACCCTTCTTCTGAGCTCCTTGATATGACCAATCAAACGGCTTATATAAATGTAGCAAAATAAGTCTCAAAAGTTCTTAAAACTGCAAACCACTGTGCATTTATTTTTTGCACTAAATTATAGCTAATACTTATGTATTTGTGTAATGCACTGTGAGCTTACCAAAACATTTGGGATTTCATGACACTTTAAGAATAAGATTTGTTTTTGTTGTAATTATATGTAGATATTTGTTTGTTATTATTGACTTTTTGTTGACACATTGATACAATCTTTTTTAAATTTCATTGGATTTTATTTGCATAGAGTTTTTTTTTATTTTTATTTTTTTATCGACATAGATCCATTTGCCAGTGGCCACTGTCACTCATGTCTTTGAAAATGACCAGTTCTCATTGAAAATGTATGACTTGAGGTCGCTGCAGATCGCTGTCAATGTAAGCGCTCTTTTAGATAAGACTACTTTATCGAAGTCCTGTTTTATTAGGTCAGTGAATGGGACAAGTCTTCATTGTTAATATCAGCATAAATCCGTTGAAGAAACATTAATATTGCAGGTTGCACATGAACAGACTGCTCAACTCAGAGCATGCTGCTGTTAGATCTTTATTGTAGAGTAAATAGATGCAGTATAAGCCCCTCTGTGAGTAGGAGATGTGAGATTTCTTGATCGTAAACATTTTTAAGCACTTTGCGGTCAGCATGCACGTCTTGGCAGACAAAATCAAAGTGCTTTTCTGATGATCTTTTACCTAACATCCTAAAAAAAAAAAAAAAAAAAAAAAAAATCTTTAAGCCAGCACCAAAAGAAAGCCTTTCTTATCAGGCAATTTAGAAGAAAGGCCTTTCTTTAAGTATTAATGTGCCAGCGTTAGCTTGTGATTCATCGATTTTCTCCTGCTTTTTCGCTTTTCTTCTTCATCCCACCCCTCTCTTTCTCTTTCTCTCCATGTCTCCTGCTGTGACTCAACTCACTTCTGAACCTCCATTACACACTGAGTGATGGCTGCCACTGTGAAAGTGGTGCAGGTCTCTGCTGTCATAGTTACTCTTTCTGCAACACTGTTTGGACCAAGATGCATTCATGCAATTATCCAGAAAATTACCAAACACTTTTAATGTCATTGTCATGGTCTGAAAAGTCACAGAACAGTGGTAACATACTGTAAAATGTGTGAAAAGCTCACAGCTATGGACAATCTCCTGAAGAGGGAGACTTATTTTTGATATGACAGAATATCAAACAAGTGACATTTATTTTTAAAGACTTTAAAGACATTTAAATAATGAATAATTGTTTTGAATAATGGGTAACACTTTATAAGTATTCCGTAATAAAGTACTTTGTAAAGTACAAAGTAAATTATTTGCAACCTATTAGTTTGTAGTTAATATATTGTATTACAGGTCCTTCTAAAAAAATTAGCATATTGTGATAAAGTTCATTATTTTCCATAATGTAATGATAAAAATTAAACTTTCATATATTTTAGATTCATTGCACACCAACTGAAATATTTCAGGTCTTTTATTGTTTTAATACTGATGATTTTGGCATACAGCTCATGAAAACCCAAAATTCCTGTCTCAAAAAATTTGCATATCATGAAAAGGGTCTCTAAACGAGCTATTAACCTAATCATCTGAATCAACTAATTAACTCTAAACACCTGCAAAAGATTCATGAGGCTTTTAAAAACTCCCAGCCTGTTTCATAACTCAAAACCGCAATCATGGGTAAGACTGTCGACCTGACTGCTGTCCAGAAGGCCATCATTGACACCCTCAAGCAAGAGGGTAAGACAGAAAGAAATTTCTGAACAAATAGGCTGTTCCCAGAGTGCTGTATCAAGGCACCTCAGTGGGAAGTCTGTGGGAAGGAAAAAGTGTGGCAAAAAACGCTGCACAACGAGAAGAGGTGACCGGACCCTGAGGAAGATTGTGGAGAAGGACCGATTCCAGACCTTGGGGGACCTGCGGAAGCAGTGGACTAAGTCTGGAGTAGAAACATCCAGAGCCACCGTGCACAGGCGTGTGCAGGAAATGGGCTACAGGTGCCGCATTCCCCAGGTCAAGCCACTTTTGAACCAGAAACAGCGGCAGAAGTGCCTGACCTGGGCTACAGAGAAGCAGCACTGGACTGTTGCTCAGTTTTGCATGTCATTTGGAAATCAAGGTGCCAGAGTCTGGAGGAAGACTGGGGAAAAGGAAATGCCAAAATGCCTGAAGTCCAGTGTCAAGTACCCACAGTCAGTGATGGTCTGGGGTGCCATGTCAGCTGCTGGTGTTGGTCCACTGTGTTTTATCAAGGGCAGGGTCAATGCAGCTAGCTATCAGGAGATTTTGGAGCACTTCATGCTTCCATCTGCTGAAAAGCTTTATGGAGATGAAGATTTCATTGTTCAGCACGACCTGGCACCTGCTCACAGTGCCAAAACCACTGGTAAATGGTTTACTGACCATGGTATTACTGTGCTCAATTGGCCTGCCAACTCTCCTGACCTGAACCCCATAGAGAATCTGTGGGATGTTGTGAAGAGAAAGTTGAGAGACGCAAGACCCAACACTCTGGATGAGCTTAAGGCCGCTATCGAAGCATCCTGGGCCTCCATAACACCTCAGCAGTGCCACAGGCTGATTGCCTCCATTCCACGCCGCATTGAAGCAGTCATTTCTGCAAAAGGATTCCCGACCAAGTATTGACTATTGAGTGCATAACTGAACATAATTATTTGAAGGTTGACTTTTTTTGTTGTATTAAAAACACTTCTTTTATTGGTCGGATGAAATATGCTAATTTTTTGAGACAGGAATTTTGGGTTTTCATGAGCTGTATGCCAAAATCATCAGTATTAAAACAATAAAAGACCTGAAATATTTCAGTTGGTGTGCAATGAATCTAAAATATATGAAAGTTTAATTTATTATAATTTATTCACAATATGCAAATTTTTTTAGAAGGACCTGTATAATATATTCCTTCATTGTCACTGTAATTAACCAAATTATTATTGTTTAATTAGCTCATATGTAAAGAGCTAGATAAAAAAAATATATATATGTAAGGGGTCCAGCCATCCAGCCGGTTGTTATCGCAGAATAAACCTGACAGGGTGATCAGGATATAAGTATACTGTAATGTTTTAAAGATTTTTTTTATTTTTATCTTTTCATTGGTTGTACTTATTTTTATTTGATTTAGTCTTAATTAAAATTATTATTAATTGAAAAAATTACAAAACATGCAAATGTGCTGCTTATGGTAATCTTTAACTACACCTTTTCATAATGAACAAACCGTTATTATTCTGGTTTAAGTTTCATAACCTTAACTTCACAAAACAGTCCTTGCTTAATTTCAAGTCAGACACTACTAAAAGTAATGACTTGCGTTCTGTAACAATTCTGACTGATTCTGTGTTTATTCAGTGAAAGATTACTTTTTTGTGTGACTCTTACAGTATGAGATCATATTTGTCTTAGTGCAGTCACTTAAAATAATATAGCCTAATAAATACCCTGTCTTGGCAATATTTCATGGAGCACATGCTTTTTATGTCATCACATTCAATTCAGACATGCAAACTCAAAGCTGTGCATCATTATAATGTTGTGTAATGGATTGTAGATGCGAAAAGCAGTATCGTGATTTCTCTGCGATTTTTCTCATAGATTGCCTTTTTGATCGTTCGCTGTGTGTGTCAATATTTTGCTCACATTGAATTAATGAGCACTCATCCTTTACTTTTCACCACACTGCTCTCCGTCTTGCGGTTCTGAAAGCTCAGCCGGTCATCTCTCCTCCCTTCAATGGAGCGTAAGGCTGTAGTCCTAGCTGGAGGTCTCAAGGTTCATTTGAGCTGTAGGTGGCTGTTTTTCCCCTGTCAGCTTGAGCCGGTGGCTTTTAGCATTTACGTTAGACGAAAAAGAACAGATAATTCTGTGCACTCACAGCCTCATAAAATGAGACAGGTTTGTGTGACCTGAATAAGAGAGTAACCGTCTGACACCACTGCCATTTCAAAGGGGAAGCAATTCCGTTCTTTGCTGTCTGTAATCTTTTTGAATGGGCATACTCTCATACTCAATACTTTACAATGTCTGATTTTACATTTATTTGATCTAAAGATTGTCCTCTTAATTAATGTTTTGGCACGATAGCGCAATGAATCTATTAGGTCATTATTATGCATAAGTGTATGAGAATAAGTGTATTTTTGGTTCTTCTTTTACAGCTGTCGGACCAGCAACAGAAAGAGTTTGATAGTGACATCCAGCACCTCTCCCACTCTGCCTCGACCCCATTCTCCACTGCACGGACACCCAGGTAAAAAAATATACCTCTCTCTTCCTTATATGAGATGTGTTTTAAACCCTTTTGAGCTGTTTACCAAAAAATACATGTTTAGGCCTTTTATGTTCCCAATGTAAAGTCTGTTCCAAACAATAGGCAGAAACATTATGCTGCCTTATAAGATAACTTGTTTTGGCTAAAATATAAGACAGCAGTAGTTGCATCCTCCACAGATCGCAGAATTCTTTGCAAGTAGCTTTATATATTTATATATATATATATATATATATATATATATATATATATATATATATATATATATATATATATATATAAGCACCCAAGATGGCGGACAGAGTAAATGTTTATTAGAAATGCATTTTATTTAGTACTGAAATGTATCAATAAAAAAAAGTTAAATCTTATTAGAAATGAACTTTTTCCCCCTATAGGCTATTTGTTTGTTTGTGCAATTGGTATAATGTTGGGGTACACTGACTTTATTTTAAGGTTAAGTTATCCTTTAACTGTAAGAGTTGATGCATATTTAGAGCATTTCAGTTATTTTCAAGGTTTATTTTTTGTTAGCATGTTGTCTTAGTAGGTAGCTGGCCACATAAGACAGGAGGCACTTTACTAGAGTCTGGACCAGAGCCATACAAATTGTACACACTTCACAAGAAAGACACACATGCTGTTCATCTTGTCACATAAAAATGGAAAGCTGTGTGGCAGCTGTTCACAAAATATTACATTATATCTCCATAGCAACCATCTCAGTTTGCCATGGAGTAATTCTAATGTGGGGCAGGGATTTCTCATCTAATTCATGTGCATCATGAATAGATTGACAGTTGACATTTTGTAATGCAATTTCTCTGGATGCCTCCTTGTGGTTTGGAAGATTTTTGCCTTCCGTCTTGTCGGAATTATGTCATTCTTGTTTGAAAATATTTTTTTATTAACCTTTCCCTGTAAAACATGAGGCATAATCAAATCCATGTGTTATACATGTGCACAAACTAAAGTAGTGTTTATGTAAGGAGAAGATCGTTTTATGTTTTCATACAGATGAGTGATTCTCAGTTGCCTTTGTGGTGTCAATGAGTGTAAGCAAACTATTATACATAATTGCAAATGAGGAGTATGCAATTGGCAAAAATTGGACATTAGATGTGTTAGAAGATCATTAAAATAGCCAGCACTCTATGTAACCCCACAGTTAAAATATCATGATTTAAATAGTAATTTCAAAGAACTGCTATGAAAGTATGCTAAAGATCCTTGAAAAGAATATTTCATAAGGAAAGAATCTATGGGTGCCCAAAAGAAGCCATTAGTCAAGAAACACCATTTTAAAACACATCAAGGATTTGCCAGTAATAACCATACAGTGACCTTTTTATAATGTAGGAAAGATATTTTGTGGTCAGAATAAACCAAGATATAGCTTTTAACTGAAAAACGATGATTTACTTTGTGCAAAATCTAACACAGGCCACAAAACACCATATCTACAGTGAATTATAGTGATGGTAGTTTTCTGCTTTGGGCACCTGGTCATTTTATTAACAGAAAGAAAAATGAATGGTGCAAAATACAGGGAGTGCTGCAGTAGAACCTCTCAGTCCACCAATAAAATTGGAACTTGAAGTATTTTCAACATGGCAGTGACCACAAACACCAAAAATATGATAGAGTTATTGCTTACAATCAGTTTGCTAACATTAATTCATTAGGCTAGTTATTATGAACTATGAACAATAACCTTTTTCAGCATTTATTAGTGTTTATACATGTACCATTGTTTTATAATTATTATAAAACTAATTATATTAAAATCTTTCACTTTGAGTTTTAGTATTTAATAAAAACAAAAAACAAAAGTAGGAATACAATATATTGGTGATTTGTCATTCAGAAAAATAACAGAAATGGTTAAATACTTTACAAAACACTTTGTATCTAGGGCTCGGAATTAACTTTTTTTAATTGGTAGCTCTGGTGCTCTCAACTTTAAAAAGTTAGAAGCACCAGCAAAAATTTAGGAGCACCACAACTAAGTATAGGAATCTAAATTAAACATTTTAATAAATTTGTAACACTACAACAACTAAAATGTTTATATATACTAAAATGTTAGCACCACACCTAAAATGTTTGGAGTGTTTTAGTGAAGTAGTTAACCAAGACGAATCAAGTGCTGGGTATGAGATATGTAACTGTTCTTTTTATTTTCTCTCTTCAGCTCTTTACATTTTGCACGCTAGTTAGCTCCTTGTCACGTGACAGCAGAGCGCAGTGAAAGGGAGTGATTGACGGCTAATATTAGCCAACCTAAAATCTGCTTTAAAGTTAAGCTTAATTGGTTATGTGATAGAACAGTGGACCGGTCACTGTGTCAGCTCACAGCAGGCACATTTTGTGCAGTAATTAGCGAAGGTTTTGTAGAGAAATTAAAACAGGTCTCACCTCAACAATTATTTCCGGGACCATATGCAACCAAAATGGTTGCAATTTTGAGCCTTGGTGTCACAGCAGTTGTCACAGTTGTTGTGTCTTTACCCCAACATAGTATATTAGAATAAAAGATTCAACTCGGAGGTAAAATGAACGTGCCTTTACTTAGCTTCATCGGTAAACAATGACACAGTATCAATGCATCAGCGGATAACCTATAGGTAAACTCAGTAGCTAGGGGAGTGGTTCCGCTGAAGTAAATAGATCCACTTTATATACTACACTCCTCCCCTTTTAGATTAATGCTACATAACTAAGTAACATACAACATTGCCAATGCATTAAACACAATTTGTTATTCAGTTGACAAATATTGAAACTCCTTTTTTTTTTTTTTTTTTTTTCATAAGTCTCATAAGTGAACTCATAAATCCAATCTTTTCGGTGGTGCCCTGAGTCGTTCAGGGTTACGCCTGGGCACTTGCGGAGTGCTCACTGCAGGGGGCACTTCCTCTGTAACTGTGGGTGTCACTGTACTGTGATCAGAGTTGGTTCCAGGATCAGGTGGACGTCCTGGTTGCTCCGGTGTCTTTGGTTGAGCATTCAACAGCTGATCCACATGACGTCTCCAGGTCTGCTCGCCAGTGTCCACCTCGTACATCAGAGGGCCGCTCCTAGTGACAATCTTCCCAGGCGTCCACTTGTCCCCTCGGTAGTCACGTGCCAGTACCTGCTGTCCCACATCGAAGCTCCTTGGTGGTTCACTTGAAAAGCCACTGAACTGTTTGTTCTGCACTTCTCTCCTCAGGTTTGGTTTCAGAAGGGCAATGCGAGATCTCAGCTGTCTGTTCATAAACAGCATTGCAGGTGTCTGATTAGTTGTTGCATGGACAGAATTGCGGTACACCAGGAGGAAATTGTCAATTTTGTGTTGAAGTGAGATGTCTTCTTTTGTCATTGCTTTTATGGACTTTTTGAATGTTTGTACGAACAGTTCTGCTAATCCGTTTGTTGCTGGATGGTGAGGTGCTGACTTGAAATGCTTGATACCATTCTTTTTCATGAAATCTTGAAACTCTTCAGAAGTATACTGTGGACCATTGTCACTCACAATTTGCTCAGGCAGGCCATTCCTGGCGAAGATGGTTCTCAGAACAGAAACAGTCTTTTCTGATGTTGTTGATTTCATTGGGACTACTTCTGGCCATTTTGAGTGAGCGTCCACAGCTATGAGGCCCCATCCACACTACTGCGTTTTAGTTTAGAAACGGAGAATTAAAACGAATACGATCTCCGTCCACACCAGCGTTTTAGCTGCGTATTAGAATTGATCTCCGTCCACATTAAAACGACTGAAAGCGCGGATCACGTGACCATTCACCAACACTGGGCATGCGCGTGCCGGTGTAAACACAACTTCATTGATAAAATTATCCCACCATGCTCTGGGTTAACCCCAAACCGACGCTCCATGTACGGTCAACGCTGCCGCTGCACACGGGAATTGTCACAGATCGCTCGAATAATAGCTTGACTCCGGCGCATGTAGGCAGTTATAGCGTTGTAAAATGCAGAATTTACTTGTACAACAGCTGCTAGCAAAGATATACGCCATGACACCCAATCATAGAGCCGAGCGTGAGCCTCTACTACGTCATCGTTTCTAAAGTCCTCCGTTTTGACCCGTCTACACTAAAACGCCCTCCGGAGATTCAAAACGAAAAACGGATCGGCAGCGTTTCTAAACTTCTCCGTTTTAGTGTGGACGGGAGGTGCAAACGTAGCAAAAGGTCTCCGTTTTTAAACGAAAACGCAGTAGTGTGGACGGGGCCTGAGAAACATAGAGTTCATGAAAGGGCCAGCAAAATCAATGTGCACTCTCTGCCAGGGTGCAGACGGCCATTCCCATGGATGTAGGGGAGCCTGTGACGGTGCGTTTTGAATGCTCTGGCATCCTGGGCAGGTTTTGGTGATGTCCTCGATTTGTTTATCTATCCCTGGCCACCATACGTAACTACGGGCCAGACTTTTCATCTTCACCGTGCCCACGTGACCCTCATGTAGACTGTCCAACACTCTGGTGCGAAGCCTGGAGGGCACTACCACACGTGATCCACACATCAGGGTTCCCTGGCAGACTGACAGCTGATCACGTCTTGCTGAAAACTCAGGAAAACATGGATTCCCATGGGCAGGCCAACCTTGTACTGTGATGTCATACACCTTGGAAAGTGTTGGGTCATTCCGCGTTTCTTTTCGTATCATGGCATTTGTAACTGGCAACTGGTCTACCAGTGTTGTGTGGAACATTTCAGCCGGGTCACTCTTTGATGGAATTTCTTTCAAAGATGTTGACAGTGGGAGGCGTGACAAACCATCAGCATTACAGTGTTGTTTAGTACCCTTGAACTCGATGTCATATGAGTGTGCTCCTAAGAACAGGGCCCATCGCTGCAGTCGCGCGGCTGACATCACTGGGACTCCTTTTCGTGGATTGAATATTGATACTAGGGGCTGATGATCAGTTACTAAGGTAAACCTTCGGCCATAAAGGTAATGGTGGAACTTTTTGA